TCGCGCGGCTGCCCGCCCGCCCTGCTGGACCAAGGTGGTGCGTCGCCCAAGGGAGGAGGTCCATGAAAGGCGTTTAGACAAGGGGACAGACACTATGCAGCCGAGTCATGCCGTCATGGCTTTCAATATATCCGTTTTGTCACGGGCAAATGTATATCGTTGGGGAAAACACTGCTCTCTCCTTTTGCTAATGGCAAGAGTAACTTGTGCCTTTATAGTTTGAAAGCCTGTGGGTTCCCTCGCGTCTCTCGTTGACACCCACTCTTGCACCCGTGACGGTGCGAATGAGAACAAGCATCGAAAAAGAATACGTCTCGTGCATAAATATGGATTTTTACCCGGCAGGGCAGAAGCCTGGGCGCTATGGGTGACAACCTCTTTTCTTTTTTTTTCCCGTTTTTCCTTTCTTATTTTGAATCAGGCAACTTCTTTCGTCGGCTGCCAGAGGAGGATAGCTGAATAAGGAAAATCGCTAAGAGCAACATGCTGACACCTGCTGACGCTGGTTGGCGTGCTGAAGTGAGCGCAGGTGTGTCGCCGTGTCACCGCCTGACCGCGATGCGATGTGGTGGCGATCGTCTCTGACGATGCGCCCTCATCTGTCATCCCGATATCTATGTCAACAAAGTTCGACTGTTTCTTTCATTTGATGAAAAATAGTTTCGGAGGGAGATGCCCCTACAAGAGCCCGTTGTTTACGTTGCTTGGGCGATGCTGAGTGCCAAAAAAGGTGTAGCCAGGAAATACGGCGATGTGCGTCACCACACGGACCGTCGAACCCGTGCGAATCCAGATTCAAATTAAGATTAATTCAGATCCAAAACTGTTTATCGCCGTTCTACACCCAAAAAACGAGGTTCTTGAACCAAGTGAATATCCTTGGAACAAGTCCATTTCCTAGCACAAGTCTAGGAAAATGACTTGTTCCAAGGATATGTACTTGATTCAAGAACCTTATATTTTTGGGGTGCACCATCAGCTTTAATGGGCGTGCTTTTATTGTAACGCGTTCATTTTCTTTCTTTGAATTTAACACGTAAAATTTGATATGACCTGCAGCTTGCCCTTCCGCGTGCTTCCTTTCATCTGAATCCCCACTCCTCTACATGTACGTCCACAACGTGGAAGCACATCTATGACTTTATTTCTGAAGACCACAAAGCTGCCGCGCCGACGGGAACCGCGCCATTCTTCTCATGTGTGTATGTTTAATTTATTTGGAGACGACGCGATATTATAGTCCCGAGCGCAGCGGGAGGTCCCGGATTCCGGAATCTGGGTGAACCTCAGGCCGCGAACTCACCCGAGCACGCGGAGGAAAAAAAAAACAAAGTTATTTTTGAAAGAGTCACGCACTCGCTCGGGAGCATACCAAGTGGAATAAGTACACTCCTCCCGCGAGTGCACGAGACTGTACTGAGTTTCGGCGATGTCCGAGAGAGGATTAATGGCGTGTGATAAAGAGCGACCGGCTCTGGTTCGGGAAAATAAGTGAGGGGTCTTCGAGCTCCGCGTGGAGTTCACACGAGAGTTCGCACGTCCCGCGGAGTGCACGCCTGGAACGCCTGCACGCTGCACGTGGAGAGCGCACGTGTCGCCCCGTCCGAGAGTGACGCCGGGTCGAAGAAAGGACTCCGCGGCGGGCTTCCCTTCCTACTCGCCATGATTGCCTGAAACCTTGGCGATGGCGCGCGCGACCAGCGGAACCGTGCACCAGTGCGTCGCTATGGAGACAGGTCAGGGTGTCGCTCTAGACCCGACCCAATGACGCCCCGCGCCCCGCCGCCGAGCCAGACACGACAACCGCAGCGCAGTAGCAGGAGATTGACAACGACGGAGACGCGCGGGGAGGGGCGTGGCAGGGCGGGGCGAGGCGCACCTCCGACCGCCGCTTCCACATCAAAGTGCGAGTCACCTGTTTGTGTGGGCAGTGGGCGCGCATCCTCCGATGGTGTAGCGTCCATCACGATATTCATATCGAAGAAGACGCGTCCGCTTGACCACCGCCTCCTGCTATGCCGTCTATAAAGGCAATACTCCCCAGTGTTGCGGGTTTGCCTACTCGATCTGCCCGTAAGGCGCCATAGCCCCTCCGGTATGCAAAGCCGCACCCGCAAGACTGGGGTGTATTAGCCTTTACACTCGGTACGGGGTGGTCCATCTGCGCCGTTCTTTCTTCGGGTTATACTGTACCGGATGCAGGCGTGCGAACGGGCTTGTCCATCGTTCCGCAGCGAAGCGCTCTGCGGCCCCCGTGCGAATATGCAAACCGCGCTCGCACGCCTGCATTCGGCGGGCAGTGTGACCAGAAGAAAGAACTGCGCAGATGGACCGCCCTGTTGTACCCTGCCCGGGTCATGACACTTGTTCACCCTTCCGCTCGCCGCACGCACGTCTGAGGCGTCGCGCTCCTGAGGGAACGCCCCTCGCCACCGCAGAAGGCCCAGCGCAGTAGCTCACTTCCTTGAAATAACTTTGTGAGGGGGTCCATTTATTATTGAGAAGCAGGGGAGGAGGCGGGGAGTTGCTCTCCGTGGTGGGCGTGACAGAATAACGGGTGGAACATGGGCATCCAAATGACGTTGATGTGACCATGTTTCGAAAAAAATATTAAGGTACTTTGTGACATCGAAAAGGAGTCACTGAGTCAATTTTGACTGACCTGTTCGATCTGGGGGGATGACACAGGGACAAGCGTGCAGGCGCGAAAGACATGTCACTGTCTGACGCGGCACACAGAAGCCGCAAGAATACCGGATGCAACAGAGAAGATGTCGGTGTATGCTGTGCGTACCCGGTCCAGGATTGGGGGGGTCCGTACCGCTTACCTCGTGGTTCCGCGAGCGCGCTCGGGCCTGGCGGTGTCCGGCGAAGCTCGGTACTCAAGTGGGACCGACAGCCGTTCCTCGCGGCATGGCACCTCCGCTCCGGTTGCCTCCCGACCACACTGTCACGACTCTGCGACCGGAGCAGCGGGCTGGGCTGGCCCCCGGGGGAGCTCGTGCCCGCGCTCGCGGGCCGTCGGCCCGGCGACGCGGGTACGGCGGCAACCGGCGAAACTCGCGAGTGTGGCCGTGCTGCGCTACCTCGGCGTCAGCAAACAGAGCAAGAGAGAAAGGGTGAGGTGGGGGAATCCTTGTCCAGCACTGCCCCTCCGGCGCACCCTGGAGCCTCGGGGGGTCCCTGGAGGGCGCTAGGTGGCGGACAGAGGGAGGAGGTGGGCACTAGTGGACACAGGACGGCCTTGGGGGGAGGGG